ATCATTCAGTAACCATTTGAGTGCCTACTGCAGCCAAGGCACTGGAGGGATCAAAGATGTGTAAATTGGAGTCCCTGCAAGTCCAGAAGCTATTTGGAGAGATAAGGTTAGTATACACAGAACTGTAATATAAGGCTGTGTTGGAGCATTGTCCTTAAAGATGGTAGCATGATGAACAGGCCAAGGATATCTGTCAGCCACAGAACAAGGCAGCAAATGCTCCTGAAATGGAACCATCACAGCCTCAGACACAGGACTGAAGAAGTCAAGAGTGATTAAAAAGCCAGGGACAGGAGACAACAATTTTGTGTTTCAGTAGCAGGCATCTCGATATACTAATTTGAGGGCTTTATGACTTTCAAGAAATTAAAAATTAAAATGAACCTAAATTTTTACCAGCTCATGGCTTTTTGACAGCTAGCCAAGAATGGATTTCCTGTTTTGCAGTTTGTACTTTTCTATTCCTCCCAAACTGTCTGAACTCATTACTTTGCTATTCTTATGACCAAAGTGAGTTTCAAGTTGAAGTGACTCTCCTGCTCTCATTTCTTTTCATTCTTTACTTTTGTTTTGTGCAGCCTGTTAGGCAACTCCATACTTTCCATTTCCAGCAGGAGGGCCACATTAGCTAATTTCATGGAATCCATGAAACATTGATGATTTAAAGTTGAAGGGGCCATGGTGATACAGGCTAACCCCATCATTTTATAGATCAGGAAGCTCAGCCCAGACGGGGAATTTCTCGCCCAGCTTAATGCAGTTGATCAGAGGCAGACAGGGGAGTAGGATCCATGTTTTCTTTCTTTTTTTTTTTCTTGAGACAGAGTCTCGCTCTGTCGCCCAGGCTGGAGTGCAGTGGTGCGACCTCAGCTCACTGCAACCTCTGCCTCCCGGGTTCAAGCAATTCTCCTGCCTCAGCCTCCCAAGTAGCTGGGATTACAGGCATGTGCCACCACCCCCGGCTACTTTCTGTATTTTTAGTAGAGACGGGGTTTCACCATGTTGGCCAGGCTGGTCTTGAACTCCTGACCTCGTGATCTACTCACCTCAGCCTCCCAAAGTGCTAGGATTACAGGTGTGAGCCACCGTGCCCAGCCCGGATCCATGTTTTCTAATTTTCACACTAGAGTACTTTTCACAGGCTACCCTGCCTCCCTCAGAGTTGCTTTGGCCAGGAGCCAACTCTGGGTCTCGGGTGGGAGGGAAGAATTCTGCCATTACAGATTACCAAGCTGTCTCTCACCAGAACAACTTACATGACCCTTAGTCAGTATTTGTCATCTAAGAAAGCAATGCTGGTGGTTACTGCGGCTACATAAAAGGATGCCACAGTCTTTGAGCACTGACGGTGTGAGGAAGTGTGACTCCAATGCAGCTGTGTTTCCAGATTCTACAAGTCAAGCCCTGCAGCCTATCATCACTGGGGGTCAGTCTGAAACCTTCCCCACTCCCACCCTACACTGCTTTCCAGCAGATTGCAAGGTTTTTGAAACAATGTTTTCCAAGTTGAGCCTCATGGTGCCTTCATGTGGCAGCACTTGCCTTAAGTGTGGCTTTTGTGTATCTTGAGTTTATGCATCCGCTGACAGGGAGCCTGCCTAGGTTCGGCACAGCAGATCTTAGCTGTGGTGCGCCTTCCGCTAGTGATGGAGGAGAGCTTTGGGGGGGCTCTTCGCATTGGTTATCACAGTTTGGTACGTTTTTAATTACATGGCACAGTTGAAGGCAGAAGCCATGACCCAGACTGATTCAGGGTTATGAGTTCTGCCTTATTCTGTCAGTTGGTAGCGGTCCATTTTTTTTCAGAAGCCCCATTTGTCTTGTCTTGTCTTTCTTTTTTTTTTTTTTTTTTTTTTTTTTGAGATGGAGTCTCGCTCTGTCGCCCAGGCTGGAATGCAGTGGCGCAATCTCGGCTCACTGGAATCTCCGTTTCCCGGGTTCACGCCGTTCTCCTGCCTCAGCCTCCCGAGTCGCTGGGACTACAGGCACCCGCCACCATGCCTGGCTAATATCATGTATTTTTAGTGGAGATGGCGTTTCACTGTGTTGGCCAGGCTGGTGTCGAACTCCTGACCTCAGGTTATCCACTTACCTTGGCCTCCCAAAGTGCTGGGATTATAGACATGAGCCACTGCGCCCTGCCATCATACTATTGTTGAAATGGGGGAATGACGAAATCACCTCAGGTTTTGTGAGAGGAGATTCGGTAAGTCTCCTTTGCCCAGGAAGTCACTTTACCCTTGAGCCCTAGTTATCTCATTTATTAAATTCTTGAGAAGATTCAATGCCATTAATACATAAACCCAGACATATGTTCTCTCCTCACCTCACCCTTAATAATGGAACTATTTTGTTACAACACGATCAGGCATCTGAGATGGATGTTGGTGAATCATATTTTCCTAATGCCTGGCCAGAGTATCATATTTCCTAATACGCCCAGCCAGAGTATTTTCCAAATAAATGACCAAATCCCCAGGGCGCATTGACAGTACTTTTCTCTTAAGATAGGACCCAGAGAGGGGCCGGGCGCGGTGGCTCACACCTGTAATCCCAGCACTTTGGGAGGCCGAGGCAGGTGGATCACGAGGTCAGGAGATCGAGACCATTCTGGCTAACACGGTGAAACCCCGTCTCTACTAAAAATACAAAAAAGTAGCCGGGCGTGCTGGCGGACACCTGTAGTCCCAGCCACTCGGGAGGCTGAGGCAGGAGAATTGCTTGGACCGGGGAGGTGAAGGTTGCAGTGAGCTGAGATCGCGCCACTGCACTCCAGCCTGGGTGAGAGAGCAAGACTCCGTCTCAAAAAAAAAAAAAAAAAAAGATAGGACCCAGAGGGAGAGCCAAGTGCTTTTCTCTACGTAGGATTACACTTTGGGTTTTTGTGTTTTGTTTTGTTTGAGACAGAGTTTCGCTCTTGTTGCCCAGGCTGGAGTGCAATGGCATGATCTCGGCTCACTGCAGCCTTCACCTCCCAGGTTCAAGCAGTTCTGCCTCAGCCTCCCGAGCAGGTGGGATTACAGTCGCCTGCCGCCACGCCCAGCTAACTTTTTGTATTTTTGGTAGAGACGGGTTTTCACCATGTTGGCCAGGGTGGTCTTGAACTCCTGATCTCAGGTGATCCGCCCCCTTCGACCTCCCAAAGCGCTGGGATTACAGGCGTGAGCTACTGTGCCTGGCCTGTGGTTACACTTTTGATTAGTCATTTGTACCTGGAGGTAGAGGTTTACAGAAAAATAAAAGGCACCCTTACTAGGCCCCCAGGCTTGAATTCAGAACCAGAGCCTAAGTGGCTGGACCACACCCTTTCTGCCCTTCCAGGTTCTACCAACTCTTATACCAGGATGGAAGTATTTCTGGCATGATTTTGAAGATGAAGTGTCAGGATTGATTGGTTTCTTTTAGCACTGTTTTTGTTGTTTTCTTTAAACATATAATCATGTCTAGACATGTGTCACTACCCCAACTTAATATTTTATCTTTGATGTTGCTTCAAAGGTAGTACCTTTTTGTTTAGCCTTTTTTTTTTTTTTAAGCAATGGTAGGTGTTTGGTCATGCTGAAGTAAATTTAGAATTTGAGAAATGATTTAAAATTGTTGCCAAGAATCATGAAAAATCTGGCAAGAGTTAACTGCTCCTTTATTAACATAAATTATATTTTAAAATATGTGTCTACACATTTTAGAACAGTTTCATACTCCCATCCTCTATGCAAAAATTCTTTTTGGTTTGGGAGAACATATGTGTTTAATACGGAGATGGAGGCCAGGCGCAATGGCTCACACCTGTAATTCCAACACTTTGGGAGGCCAAGGCTGGCAGATCACCTGAGGTCGGGAGTTCAAGACCAGCCTGACCAGCATGGAGAAACCCCGTCTCTACTAAAAATACAAAATTAGCCGGGTATGGTGACACATGCCTGTGATCCCAGCTATTCGGGAGGCTGAGGCAGGAGAATCGCTTGAACTCGGGAGGCAGAGGTTGCAGTGAGCCAAGATGGTGCCATTGCACTGCAGCCTGAGCAACAAGAGCGAAACTCCACCTCAAAAAAAAAAATTAGTCCACTATGGTGGTGGGTGCCTACTACGGAGGCTGCCACTAGGGTGGGTGCCTACTAGGGAGGCTGAGGCAGGTGAATTGCTTGAACCTGGGAGGTGGAGGCTGCAGCGAGCCAAGATCGCGCCACTGCCCTCCAGTCTGGGCAACGCTGTGAAACTCCATCTCAAAAACAACAATAAGAAAAATGGAGATGGAGACTACAGCAAACGTTACGTGTTACTTTTCCCCTCTCCCTTTTATTTCAACTTTCTCTCAAGAGTTGAGTGGATGAAATTAATTGCAGAAAATTCATAATTTTCAAAGGAAAGCACAACATAAAACATTATTGTAAAGGATGCTTATCACAGTGCAGTTAACTAGAAATAACCTAATGCCGACGTAAGGAGCTGTTTAAATCATGTTGCTGCATCCAAATGAAGTAAAATCAATTTTGTTTTCAAAATATATGCCTAGAAAAGAGAACAAAATTACTAGCATTGCTTGCTTCTAGATGGTAATTACAAGTCATCTTATTTTTTGTTTTCCTTTTCAGCATTTTTTCCAATGAAAATGTAATAGTGTAGAAAAAAGAAACAATAGAAGTTACCTTAATAGCAAAAGATAATGGTCAGAATAGTATGTTACAGGAAAAAAAAAAAAAAACAGAATTTCTATACACAGAAAAAAGCCTGGTAGGAAACAGACCAAGATGTCAAATGTGATTATGTCTTTTACAATATTGTGTCTTCCAAATTTTCCATAAACAGCATGTATTACTTTTATAATCAGGAAGAAAAAAAGTATATTTTTGAGGGCATCATTGTCAGAAGTGTTAGTACTTCCTTCAAATATAATTTAGTGCACACATACACACATTCAGGGTCAGGGGAAACGAAGTCAGCTAGATTTTTTAAAACATTGAAGCTACTATGAAGCAATGAAAATCAGTGAGTTCGAGTAGAGCGGTGGCGGTGGCGGCGGAGGCTTTGGCAGCTCGGGACTGAGTGCAAGTAACAGAATCAGCATGATTCTTCAGAGGCTCTTCAGGTTCTCCTCTATCATTCGGTCAGCAGTCTCAGTCCATTTTCGGAGGAACATTGGTGTTACCGCAGTAGCATTTAATAAGGAACTTGATCCTGTACAGAAACTCTTTGTGGACAAGATTAGAGAATACAAATCTAAGCGACAGACATCTGGAGGACCTGTTGATACTGGTCCAGAGTGTCAGCAAGAGCTGGAGAAGGAGCTTTTTAAGCTCAAGCAAATGTTTGGTAAAGCAGACATGAATACATTTCCCACCTTCAAATTTGAAGATCCCAAATTTGAAGTCATCGAAAAACCCCAGACCTGAAGAAATAAAGTAAAATTAATCTGGTAATTTGTCATGGGTTAGCTGTACAACTAGTTAGGTGTTTCAGAATAAACATGCATTTCATAACTGTCAAAAAAAAAAAAAGAAAATCAGTGAGTTCACACAGAAATTGTGATCGTTTTCATTGTGCAGGACAGAGCACTGATCATTCCGTGTATAAAACTCTAACCTTTTGTATAGGTGCTCACAGTGACTGCAGGGGGAAATGAAAAGGGAGCATTGATTTTGATTCTTCCCACATAGAAAAGTGGAAGCCTAGGGTATCAATGCTCTGGGGTCCCACACCGGTTAGAGAAAGCCCCACTGTTCTTCCATGCCCAGCTGCTCCAAGCAAAGCTTTCATTCAGGCTGCCCCTGCTTCAGTTAGAATCCCATCTCAGTGAAATGTATTGGCCCTCTTTTCCCAACTCCCACTGCCCCCAAGCCAGCTCCAAAAGAAGAGGGTATTCCAGTAGCTGAGGATGCTCAGCAGCTAATACTGCCCCCCGGCATGAATCCAGTCAAGATTCCATTTCTGTCAGGACGTTGACATGGTTTCCCTGGTTTCTTTACACTGTCCACAGTGTGGTACTACTGTGGGTTGCCACTCCAAAACAGGACAAGCAGAGCAGATATTTTGTCAAAGTAAGCCTGTATTTGAGGAAGGGTAAGTTAAGAAGCTAAGTGTGACTTTGTCCAAGCTGCAGGCGCTTTTCAACAACAGGTTGAAAAAGTAGTTCAGCCAGATTCAACCAGGTTGCACAGGTATTTTCAGCTCCTGTTTTTTGTCCTGATATTAGCTGCTTGAGCAAAAAGACTCAGCAACCTGACTTCCTACAGCCTAGAGTTTAGCAAGGAAGAGAATTCAACAGTAATGATGAATGGTTATTTATGCTACACCAGTGCTTCTCAAATGGTAATGTACAGATTGCCTGGGGATTGTGTTTTAACAGATTCTGATTGAATCAAGATGGGAGCAGTGATTCTGTAGTTCCAACAAGCTCCCAGGTGCTGCTGGCGCTTCTGGTGAGTGGACCGCACGGGAGCAAGGTGCTGTATGTTAGGGAAGTACAGGTTTCTAGGTAAGAGTGAGCCCTAGAAACATTAAACTTGTGGTGGGAGGAAGGGTTATTGAAGGAAATGACCTTTCAGGGTAAACCCCAAGGATGAGTAAGAGCTTAGCAGAGAGGATCGGGCACGGTGGCTCACACCTGTAATCCCAGCACTTTTGGAAGGCCGAGACGGGAGGATCACCTGAGGTCAGGAGTTTGAGACCAGCTTGGCTAACATGACGAAACCCCATCTCTATTAAAAATACAAAAATTAGCCAGGTGTGGTGGTGTGCGCCTGTAGTCCCAGCTACTCAGGAGGCTGAGGCAGGAGAATTGCTTGTATCTGGGAGGCAGAGGTTGTAGTGAGTCGAAATCACGCCATTGCACTCTAGCCTGGGGGACAGAGTGAGACTCCATCTCAAAAAAATTTTAAAAAATTTAAAAAGAGCTTAGCAGAGAGGAGTATCTGAGGTATTTCCAGCAGACCTGTGAAATTGTTGCAGGGGTCCAGGAGAGGTAGGTGCCCCAGAGTGTGGTAATGGAAATGAATTAGGAGAGGAAGCTACAGTGGGGCCATAATTATTCGTTCATACACATAAACTTCAGTGAGTGAGTGGTTATGTGGGGGCAATAAGGGACAGGGAGGAGTTGAGAATTACACCAGGTTCCCACTGAGTGATGGAGCCCTTTACTAGGATGGAGGCACAGGGGATACAACAAGCTTGTTATAGCCTGATGGATTCTTCTTGCCTGCTGCCCAGAAATGCCAATGCACTGAAAACAGCTGAAGTGTTGCAGCAGAGAAACAATTTAATATTCAAAATGCCAGTCAAGCAGAAGGACTGGAAATCATTCTCAAATCTGCCTCCCCGAGAATTCAGAGGCTAGAGATTCTATTTTATTTTATTTTTTATTTTATATTTTATTTTATTATATGTTATTTTATTTTATTTTTGAGGTAGATTCTCGCTCTGTCACCAGGCTGGAGTACAGTGGTGCAATCTCAGCTCACTGCAACCGCTGCTTCCTGGGTTCAAGCGATTCTCCTGCCTCAGCCTCCCAAGTAGCTGGGACTACAGGCGCGTGCCACTGCACCCAGCTAGTTTTTGTATTTTTAGTAGAGATGGGGTTTCACCATGTTGGCCAGGATGGTCTTGATCCTTGACCTCGTGATCTGCCGACCTCGGCCTCCCAAAGTGCTGCAATTACAGGCGTAAGCCACTGCACCCCGCTGAGGCTAGAGGTGTTTTTTGTTTGTTTTTTGTTTGTTTGTTTTTGAGACGGAGTCTTGTTCTGTCACCCAGGCTGGAGTGCAGTGGCGCGATCTCAGCTCACTGCTCCTGGGTTCACCCCATTCTCCTGCCTCTGCCTCCCGAGTAGCTGAGACTACAGGCGCCTGCCACTATGCCTGGCTAATTTTTTTGTATTTTTAGTACAGACGGGATTTCACTGTTAGCCAGGATGGTCTCGATCTCTTGACCTTGTGATCCGCCTGCCTCAGCCTCCAAAGTGCTGGGATTACAGGCGTGAGCCACCATGCCCGGCCCGCTGAGGCTAGAGTTTTTAAAGGAAAGCTGGGTGGGCAGGTGGCTAGGGAATAGGGAATGCTGACTGAGTTGGGGATGAAATCATAAAGGGTTGACGTTGTCTTCTTGTACTAAGTCAGTTCCTGGGTGGGGGCCACGAGACCAGTTGGGTCAGTTTCTTGGTTATAGGTTACCCATCTGAGTGGCACCAGCTGGTACATCAAAATACAAGGTCTGAAAGATACCTCAAACACCAGTCTTAGGTTCTACAATAGTGACGTTATCTACAGGAGCAACTGGGGAGGTTACACATCTTGTGACCTCCAGCTACATGACTCCTGAACCATAATTCTGACCTTGCGGCTAATCTGTTAGTTTTATGAAGGCAGTTTGGTCCCTGTGTGATGAAGGGATTCGCTATCTTTGTTTTAAAGTTAAACTATAAACTAAATTCCTCCCATAGTTTTCTTGCCCTACACCCAGGAATGAGCAAAGACGGTTAGCTGGTGAGGTTAGAAGCAAGAAGGAGTCAGCAATGCTGGATTTCTGTCACTATCATAGTATTTGCAAAGGTGGTGTCAAGCTTAGGGACACAGTGGAGTCCAGCTGTGGACAAAGAGTTTCAGGAACCTGAGGTGTCCATGCAGGGACACCCCCAGTGGACAATTGTTATTTGGGCCTGGAGGTTAGAATGTGGGCACCAATGCAGAGATAATGGAAGCTGTGGGTGTGGATAAGGGCCAGGAAGAATGTGTGTAGAGTCAGAGGAGAGAATGTCTAAGCTGCAGGCCTGAGGAGCACCCACTCTTAAGGGGTGGGCAAGGAAAGGGGAGGACTCTATAAGGGGCAGCCATTGTAAATGGCCCTGGTTTGGATAGCTGTCAGCACCACCATCGCCCCCAGCTTATTAAGTATTTTACATACATTATCCTAGGAAGTAAGTGGGACACATATTGTCCCTCTTTTATAGCTGGAAAAACAGATCAACAGTACATCAAACCTACTGTCATTCCAACAGCTTGGCTGCCCTTCAGCTGGGATGTTTACAGGGACTCCACCCTGCCCTCACTCAACCGACAGCCAAGCTGCCCATTTCTGAGATTCTAGGAGCGGCTTACAGCTGGTTTTTTTTTTTTCTACTTTTTCTTCATTGTTATCAGTCCTATGGCTAATAATAATACCTAACACACAGCAGTTCCACATACAGATGTTACTTTTTTTTTTCTTTTTTCTTTTTTTTTTTTTTGAGACGTAGTTCCACTCCTGTCACCCAGGCTGGAGTGCAATGGCGTGATCTCAGCTCACTGCAACCTTCACCTCTGAGGTTCAAGTGATTCTCCTGCCTCAGCTTCCCAGGTAGTTGAGATTACAGGCATGCGCCACCATGCCCAGCTAATTTTTGTATTTTTAGTAGAGATGGGGGTTTCACCATGTTGGTCAAGCTGGTCTCGAACTCCTGACCTCAAGTGATCCACCTGCCTTGGCCTCCCAAACTGCTGGGATTACAGGCGTGAGCCACCACACCCAGACCACAGATGTTATTCTTAATGTTTTACATATTTTAACTTGTTTAATCCTCACAACAACCCTATTAAATATATTTATTATCTTCATTTTATAGATGAAGAAATTGAGGCCCAATGTTCCAAGCTATTATCAAAAGATCAAATTATAACAAACTAGTTTAAAGATTTCAATTGGCTTTATTTGCAATTCTAGAATCAGGCAACACTTCATTCCATAAAACTGAGTGAGTTCCAAAGAGCTGAGGAGAAGGACTTGGCTTTATACACAGAGAAGGGCTGAAGAAAGCAGAAGGAAGGAACAGAGCATATTAGTTACTTTTAGACAGAACTATAGAAATGTAACTGGTTAGTAACATTGGGTTACTTCAGGCTACCTTTTTTGTTTAAGGATTAAACAGAAGAACTTCCCTTATCATACTGATTGAAGATTGGAACTAGCCTGCTTGGGAAATTGGTTGTTGTCTGTCCCTCCTGATTTCTTGCAAGGTCAGAAAACTCTTTAGGTTTGGTGATCTGGAACTTTAACATGGCTGACTCCATTTTGATTTTTAGGCTGGTCTGTTGGGGCCTAGTGCAGGAGCTTATTCCAAAACAATGGCCTCCTATAATGGTTTATTGAACAGTGTTAATTAGAGGAAATGGGGTTTAAACCTAGGGGAGTCTGACTTTAGGGTTCAGGGCTGTCACTGAGCCTCCATTTTTCTGAGGTAAAATTCCTCACCTTACCCACTGATGATGGTCTTGTAGTCTTAGCTTCTTGGCCACACTTTCAACCTTTCAGTGCCTATAGTTGTTCCTAGCCCGGAAAGGTCACATGGTTCGTATACTACCTTCTGTTGAGAAGCCAATAGCTTTCTGAAAATAAGGCCAGAGGCCATTTGGAGAATCCTAAACCTGCTGCCTGGGAATGGGCAGGGTCTTGTGCTTCTCAATGTCCTCAGAATGAATTTCCTGCCATGCCTGGGATTCCAGCTCCCCTCTCTCCC